GGGGGCAGAAGAGAAAACTTGATTCCAGAGTCAAAGACAATTTCCAAAAATTAGAGTCTTTCAAAATTTTTGTTTTATTGTAATTTCAACAGCTTTGAGTCTCTTTTAATGGTGTGTGTCTCCGCTATCTGTGTCCAAAGTCCGGACATGACGGCGTAGATAGATTCCCTAGCACTAGGACTTGTTCCCAAATGTCCCCGCGAAAGATCTGCCGCCATCCACCGGCATACACAGACCTGTGAGGAAACTGGCGGCGTCCGATGCAAGGAAGCTCACAGCCTCAGCCACTGCCTCTTTGGTCACGCCCACATTGCCCAGAGGCTGGAGAAAATAATTTTCAAATCGGTTTTAGTTTAGTTTTAGTAAACGTTTTATGACACTTGCATGCAACACAAATAAGGTCATAAGTGTCGGAAATTAGTTGGGTTTTTTTACAAGAGAGAAACATGCAAAGGAGGAGAGGAAATAACGAAAGACGTTTGATGGGAATAAAGGAGCAAACCACACCAGAGCACCCACCAAGCACTCACAAGAGATATAAGGGGACATCGGGTTATAAGAAAGGATTGGATAAATAAGAAGACATTACATAAAATTTCGTAGCAAAATCATTTCAATATCCCCTTCCCTAGTTAATTCACAATTGCTGGAGGCTCTGGAGCTCCAAACGTTTGAAAATAATCTGTATATTATAATATGAGTTTGGGCTTGAATCTGAATCACATTATAATTGAAGGCTGAAGGAATGAATTGATTTTTTACGTCTTTAGTGAGACAATTTATAACATTTAAAAGCGCAAGCTACTTCGACTCTGTCTATAAGGGCCAACCCGAGCTGAGTGGAATGCTGCATCCCAGTAGTGACATTAAGATATATCTGATAAAATAAAATGTTCCAATCGAGAATCAAATTCACGTCATCAGCGTGCAACAGCAAAGAGTCTACCCATTACCTCCCAGACGCCAGTCCAAGAGGTCTGCGGTCGTTATTTTTAAACTAAATGTGAAAATACCAATAAGTAACTAAGTGCTGTAAAGCAGGTTCATCTTAGAGAAGTTTTCTTTTTATCAAGCTTGGGATAACCTCTCGTAAGCACAGAAAATTACCACCGTTAGGAATACAAAAGAGACACGGTAAGCAATAATATGCCTGCCGCTGTTGAAATACTGGATGGGGGCTTGACCAAGAGCACAGACATGGAAAACTACACTGCAGGGGAAAGGGCGTTAAAAGGTACCGGGTACGTTCAAAAATCTTCAAAAAACTGCATAGCTTGTGCACACCACCAGATTGACTGATTCATTTAGAATGAATAAGAAGATGAAAAAAGACAGCTTGGATTTTTTCTCTTACCAAAGGACTAACGTTCGAACGTTTTAAGTTAGAAATAGGAGGGTTTCCATCATCCCTTTTGAAACTTTTCCTTGATGTTTTGTGCTCCACCAAGGAATCGGGGGCCTAAGTGATCTACTTTCGATCGGAGTCTTCTACTTCTAGCAGAAATAATAAGAATAATTTGGAACTACATGTGCCAAACCCCTGATTTTAATTACCACAAAGCAGGTCAATTTCAAGGTTTGCAGCGCAAAGCACAGGCAGGCAGGTATTGAGAACGTACAAAACGTGGACTTGAGACCACAGACCTGTTTTTCAATTTCTGGGACAAGCGCTTGGTTGTACTGCTTATCCATAGTTTCTTCATCGGGGGCGTAGTCTCTGAAAATAGAGGGAGAGGATTCAGAAGGTTGGGAAAAGGGGGGGGGGTAATAAGATCATACAGTTTACCACTGAAATCCACAATAAAGATGTAATTCGTTGCAGAGAAAAATGTGAAAGTTCTGAATGCAAATTCTTTCTGAGCTGCTTTACCATGCCTTGTCTGGGTTGTGGTGAATTAAAAGTGATTGGTGAGGAGTAGTGAACATGATTGTCTTTTCAAAGATCTACTAATTCACGGTCATGTATTCCTTTCTATTAGCGTAGTCAGCTTTGCCACTGGTGTTATTTCGCTGTTTCAATATGCTGTGAATCAAAGGGCAATGTAGCCAAAGCCTCTGGTTTTTACCTGATTGAATTTCAAATTCTAAGGTAACAATTTTTCCCTTTCTTTCCAGATATATTCGTGACTTTCTGCCCTTCTTCTTTTATTTTGTTCTTAAGGGTTTATTGATAATCTACCTTTTAAAAAGCTGACTCCGATTCATTTTGAAATAAAATATTCTAGAATAACGTAAACTTCTCGTGGAAATCAAGCCAGGACAAAATACAAACCTACGCATTCTTGTGGGAATGAGGGAAGGATTCACAGCGTTGACCCGGATCTCTTTCGGCCCAAGGTCGACGGCCAGACATCGGATCATGTGATCCACTGCCGCTTTTGACATCGGATACAGGATGTTGGGTGAGCAAGCCATAAATGACAACATGGATGACACAACGATAATGTTGCCCTTGCTCGCTGCCAGATGTGGCACCGCTTCTTGAATCTGGAAGAACACTGCTTTTACATTCGTGTTCATGATTTTATCAAAAGTCTCTTCACTGGCAGTCAGAATACCACAATGAGGATCTGCTACACCAGCATTAGCCACCAACACGTCCAGACGTCCAAATTTCTCTACCGTCTTCTCCACAATCGCCTTCCTTGCAGAGAGGTCGACAACGTCCCCGCTCACGGCCAAAAAGCGGTCAGCTTGACCTCCACTGGCCTGGACACACAAGGTCAAGGAGGCCTGGAGCCTGTCCTCATTCCGGCCACATAAGGTGACAGATGCCCCTCTCTGGGCGAACATGATGGCGATGCTCTCCCCTAACCCAGAGCTGGCTCCGGTCACGACACAGACTTTGCCTTTGAGTTGTTCAGTGTGTTGGCTTCTCCTTGACGCCATTTTGCCTGAAGTCTGGGCTGTAGGTTTGTGTCTACGTTATCTTCGATTCAGTCAAATGGGGTTACTATTTGCAGGCAGTGGTAACTCCTGTGAAAAAAATGTTCTGCTCTTACTGTTCAAAGAAATGCACAAAGGAAATGTGATTTGCGTTGTGCAAAATGAATATCTTACCCTTACCAGAATACCCGGTCGATGCGCTCGAGACGAAAACACGGATAACGTGTACATGTAATTTTCTTAGCTTGTGTCAGTTTCACTTTGGGTTTTTTCTTTAAAAAGTACTCATTTCAAATTATTGTTTGTTTAGTATAGGGTTTTACGGCGCTCGCAACTGCATAAGGTCATATGAGCGCGCGGGACACACCTAATACTTTTTCGTTGGTAGGAAATTTTGAATTTTGCTCGGGTGGCGGCCGAAGCCTACTCTTATCGATTTTAGACCACCAAGGGATATTTAACGTGCGCAACTTGCACACGGGACCTCCGAGATTTTTCGCCCTTGTCCGAGAAGGCTAGGTGTAGATCTTTCCTACCAGAAGATCAGGGGTGTGGCAGAAAGACAGCAGTTAGGAGGAGCCAAGGAGTAGCAGTAGAAAGGCTGCAGAAAGAGTCAGGAGCCCAGAGGAGGGGGCAAAGGAGGTGAGGGGGTGGGGGCGGAAAGTGGAAATGAAAGCAGACAACAGAACATTGTTAGAGATCAGGAAAGGATGTGAAAGGAGACAATTTTAGAGAAGAAAATATTTTGGTCGCTACCCGGAATCGAACCCGGGACCTTTGAATGAGAGGCCAACACCTTAACCTCTAGGCCACGAGAGCCCCCCTATTTCAAATTAAATAAGATCGTTATTTTGTTTTGAAGAATGATAATGTACTATTATGGAAGCACTATCTAAGCCTTTACTTCCGTTTATTTGATTATTTGTCAACCGTAATACGTCGTAGTTTTTTTTATCCTTCAGAACCAAATGTTTTTCATATTTCTTTGGACACAGCAGATATAGAAGTTATGGAGAACTCATAATAGCGGCAAGTTAGACCATGATCCAACGGGCTACACATAGCACATCGATGGGTTTTTTCCAAATTCATCGAGCCCATCGTCATAGTAATTTCACAACAGTTTAAACGTCCGCCTCCCACTGACAGCATCTGAACACAGGTACACTGCATTAAATAATTATTTTTTTCTAGACCTTTTTCTGAATTTCACATTCAGCCATTATTGTGTAGACAGTACAACGGAAATTCAATCATTCTAAGATCAGGCTATTTCAGATTTAGAGACAGTACCGTAAGATGTAATATATATATATATATA